ACCCTAGCCCGCCGGCGCCGGTGTGGCCCAAGGGTGGTCTGTGCATGAGCCGTCCATCGAGCCCGAGAGGGCATCGGGACAGGCCACAGGTCGCCTGAGCGTTCGTCAGGCACAACTGTGCAGGCAGGAGCACATAAGGAAAGCCTAAGGAAGGACCCCAAGCTAGACCTAGCACTCCAGAAAGAACCTAAAAAACTAGAAACCCAGCTGACAAAGCACGTCTCGTCGAGAGGCAACTTGTTGGGCTCGGGGCGGGAGCTAAAGGAGTGGGGGTCATGGTGATTGGCTCCAAAACCCTTCGGCTCTGCCCGCGTGGCTGAAGGCTTCGCCCCAGCTGGATCAGAAACACGACATTCCGAATTAGACGGCGCACACATGGTGGCTATAGACGGGCCAAGCTCCACTCGACCGGTCTCGCATGCAACTCCCTTCTCGCATCTCAGGCCTCCGTTGCCCCCTTTGGTTTGCGAGGGGGCCGCCGTGGGGGTCGAGAGGGCTGTCCTGGGTCGTCGGTCGGGGCCGTGTCCTTGTTGAGGTCCGCAGTTGAAGTCGTCGACATTCGGCCCGCGATCCAGTCCATCTCCTTCAGGTAGGCAATGTTCGCCGAGGCCCACAGGGAAGGGCACATTCGCGAAAACGGCTTCACACCCTGCTTCTTTCGCACCATTGTCGACCACGAGGGCTCCGGCAGCCCCGCAAGGAGCCAGGCGAGCTGAGTGCGACCTCCCTCGGTGGCGGCTTGATCCACGAAAAGAAGCAGCCTCGCGAACCAACCTTCCATCTCGATGTTCTCCGAGCGGCGGGCCTGTTCCCAAGCATGGCCGGCGAATATCCCGACCAACGCTAGAGTGCGAAGTTCTCCGACAGGGCTGCGACGCTCGATGTAAGTCCGCATCAGGCTCGCCGGGGGGTCCTCCGCCGATTCTCCCAGCTCCTGTGCAGCCAAACGACGGAGCTGATCCGCCACCTGAACATGATCCCGAAGCAAGCGGACATATGCATCCCGAGCGGCGCTGCCTTTGGCACTCAAGCTGCCTTCGTCTTTGCCCGCGCCGGAAGCCAACGCTG